TATATAAATTCTGAATAAATGGTAAGAACTAAATGTAAAACATCACACGATGAAATGGATGCGCATTTAAGTCCACCACATTATACTAAAAACATATATTGCGGAAAGTGAAATTAAATTTTAGGATTTTAGGCGGAGAATGCTTAGGCGGGAGAATTTTATCTCTCCAGTGTAGTGCTTTTAGGTATAGGATGATGATATTTTTTTGTGGAAAGTGAAATTACATTTCAGGATTTTAGTCAGAGAATGCTTAGGCGGGATAATTTGCTCTCTCCAGTGTAATGCTTGTAGGTATAGAATTTTTTTTTTTTGGAAAGTGAAATTATATTTTAGGATTTTAGGCGGAGAATGCTTAGGCGGAAAACTCTTCTCTCTCCATTGTAGTGCTTTAAGGTATAGAATGAAATTACATTTTAGGATTTTAGGATTATAGCATGATGATTTTTTTTTGTGGAGAGTGTAATTACATTTTAGGATTTTAGGCGGAGAATGCTTAGGGGAGAGAATTTTCTCTCTCAAGTGTAGTGCTTTTAGGTATAGGATAGGATAGGCGGAGAATGCTTAGGCGGGAGAATTTTCTATCTCCAGTGTAGTGCTTTTAGGTATAGGATTAGGCGGAGAATGCTTAGGCGGAAAACTCTTCTCTCTCCATTGTAGTGCTTTAAGGTATAGAATGAAATTACATTTTAGGATTTTAGGATTATAGCATGATGATTTTTTTTTGTGGAGAGTGTAATTACATTTTAGGATTTTAGGCAGAGAATGCTTAGGCGAGAGAATTTTGTCTCTCCAGTGTAGTGCTTTTAGGTATAGGATAGGCGGAGAATGCTTAGGCGGGAGAATTTCTCTCTCCAGTGTAGTGCTTTTAGGTATAGGATTAGGCGGAGAATGCTTAGGCGGGAGAATTTTCTCTCTCCAGTGTAGTGCTTTTAGGTATAGGATGATGATATTTTTTTGTGGAAAGTGAAATTACATTTCAGAATTTTAGTCAGAGAATGCTTAGGCGGGATAATTTGCTCTCTCCAGTGTAATGCTTGTAGGTATAGAATGTTTTTTTTTTGTGGAAAGTGAAATTATATTTTAGGATTTTAGGCGGAGAATGCTTAGGCGGAAAACTCTTCTCTCTCCATTTTAGTGCTTTAAGGTATAGAATGAAATTACATTTTAGGATTTTAGGATTATAGCATGATGATTTTTTTTGTGTGGAGAGTGTAATTACATTTTAGGATTTTAGGCGGAGAATGCTTAGACGAGAGAATTTTCTTTCTCCAGTGTAGTGCTTTTAGGTATAGGATAGGCGGAGAATGCTTAGGCGGGAGAATTTTCTTTCTCCAGTGTAGTGCTTTTAGGTATAAGATTAGGCGGAGAATGCTTAGGCGGAAAACTCTTCTCTCTCCATTGTAGTGTTTTAAGGTATAGAATGAAATTACATTTTAGGATTTTAGGATTATAGCATGATGATTTTTTTTGTGGAGAGTGTAATTACATTTTAGGATTTTAGGCGGAGAATGCTTAGGCGAGAGAATTTTCTCTCTCCAGTGTAGTGCTTTTAGGTATAGGATAGGCGGAGAATGCTTAGGCGGGAGAATTTTCTCTCTCTAGTGTAGTGCTTTTAGGTATAGGATTAGGCGGAGAATGCTTAGGCGGGAGAATTTTCTCTCTCCAGTGTAGTGCTTTTAGGTATAGGATGTGTTTTTTAATACGTGACATGTTGAACTGCTTAAATATACTAATAATAATTATTATTCAATATTGAATATGACATCAATAGATTATTAATTGTATTTTATAACATTTTAATAATGGATTAGATATGTTGTTAGTAACACAATTTAGTATATTTTATTACTCTACTAGTATTTCACCCGTGCGTTGCACGGCCGATATACATGGCCATGCAATATTTAAAACAATAACATTTATACGAAAAATATATATCAAAATATTTAATGCGTATTTGATGAACATCAACAAAAATTCAAAGAAGTAACTATAATTAATATCCAAAACAATTACAGGTTATGAAACACTTCTTTGTACACAACATTTGTGGTTTCATTTGTTGTTTCCTCGTTATTGTCAACAATTAAAATTTTCAACCCCTTCGGATTAGTAACCCTAGAAATTGCTACATATAGTTGCCCATGACTAAAAACAGGTTTCTTTAACAATAATCCAACATGTGAAAGAGATTGACCTTGACTTTTATTTATCGTCATGGCATAAGCAACCATGATAGGAAATTGTCTCCGCTGAAACTTGAAGGGAAGTCTGACATCAGATGGAGTCAATGATAATCTTGGAATTAGCACCTCTTGACCCATACTTCTACCGGTGAGAACACTTGCTCCTAATATGTGATCACCAAGCCTTGTTATTATAAGTCTTGTTCCATTGCACAAACCCATAGAATGATCTATATTACGAAGAAGCATAACCGGTGTCCCAACTTTTAAAGTCAACTCATGATTAGGTACACCTGAGAGTCGAATTTTGTTCAAAAATTCCGGTGAATGCAAGTCTGCTAATAAATCTACATTGCAGTCCGATTTGCACACACTGTCTGAACTGAGATAAGTTCTTGATGGTTGATGTGTATTCAGGCTTATCATGTAATCATTTACTTCATCTACAATGCTTAAAGTCGGCGCTAAAATAGCTCTATCTTTGAAGTAGTTGAAATCATGAGCTGAATTTAAAAAGTCAGGATATGAGCTCTCAACAATCTTTGCTATAGGATCACCTGAAGTGTGTAGGAGTAAATCTTCTGGTATTTCAACAAAAACACAACCATCATTCGATGCTCCAGCTATACCATCACCAACGGAAACAATCCAATTTGAAAATCTCTCTAATGCTTGAGATTCACTTGCGTCGCTAGAAGATTGTAACCGCTTGTTCTTTGTCAATCTCAAAACTTCACAACTGTGCCATAAATATGAAGAATTTATGGTTGCATTCACGATATCCTGGCGACTGCCTTGAGGGATAACGGACAAAATTTGTCGAAAATCTCCGCCAAAAACAATTGGTTTTCCTCCAAAGGGCTTAGACAAACTATTCGGTACTGAAAATCGCATTATATCACGCATGCTTCTATCAAAAGCCTCAAAACAGTATTTGTGTAGCATTGGAGCTTCATCCCAAATGATTAGCTTGCACTTCACAATTAACTGAGCTAGTGGACTCCCTTGTTTGATATTGCAAGTTGAATCTTCATTCAAAGAGAGCGGAATGGCAAAACGTGAATGAGCGGTACGACCTCCCGGCAATAATAACGATGCAATACCACTGGAGGCTACATTTAAGACAATTTCGCCTTTAGAGCGTAAAGCAGCCGAAACTGTCCTCCAAATAAACGTCTTACCGGTTCCACCATAACCATACAGGAAAAAAACACCTCCATGTTGATTATTAACCGAATGCATGATTTTCTCATAAACTTTTCGTTGTTCTTCTGTTAAGTTCCTAAATAAAGTAGTATGCTCCACTTTCAAAGCATTACGATCATACTGCAACTCTTCATGTATGTACCTATTATATGTGCGTGACATTGAATCCGAAGGAGGCACAGGCATGGGAGGATAGTCACGTAAGCTCTTGCCACGTCCTTGTAATAAAAAATCAAGTTCGATCAAAGTAAATTTCTCCAATTGTTCATCGCTCAACACCAGCCTTAAAAAAATTTAAAAAGTTTAAGTAAGTTAAATTTAAATTTACAATTAATAATAGTATTATATTTGCATTTTATCTTAAATAATTTTCATAGAATAGCAAAAATATAACAACAAAAGTGATACCTGGATTTTGAAACAACAAACGATGCTTATATTGTATGTCATCTGCTAAAAATTTCCAACATTTCTTCCAAACATTGTCAGGCCTGCTCAAAGATTCGGACAACAACAATACAGCAAACAATAACCTCAAAGAAAACGCTGAAGCCCAATGACTTGCATCAGTTATCCCATCAACATATTCTTTGTCGTCGTTCAACAATCCAAGAGCATAGCAAGCCTCTCGATATGTACTATACAAAACATCACCAATGGTTCTTAAATCATCAAAACATGTAGGCCCGCGAATATGGTTGAGAAGACATCTTAAATAATAAATTTCTCCACTTCCAGGAGGGACATAATAAATTCGACCAATTGAAAATGCAATTTTCCTTGGAACCCATTCTCTAGTTGTTTTTTTCCAAACAAACTTCTGTGGAAGTTCGGCATATGTCAATCCTCTTGCTTCAATGTATTTCTTGTTTGCCTCAAACCACGCGAGAAACATACTATCCTTAAGCCCTCAGTATTGCATCACTTAAGCCCTTATACATTTCACAGCGTAATTGCTTTTGATGTGTTCTCACAAATTGCAACCTACCCGACTCGACCATCGTGTAACCATCAACAACAAATTGTTGGAAAAGTCGTTTTGTCTTCAAAATCGAGGAAACAGTATTTTGTCGTTGCTGCAATCGGAAAGCTAAAAATTCTCTAACACTTACTCTCCGTCTTCCAGCTCCTGTAACGGTATTTGCATTGGATAAAGGAATGTCCTCTCTATATCCATCTTGAAGCTGGTTCATCATCTGATTACAGTGAAAGACATTTACAATACAAAACCTATTTGCTACAAACAACCTAAAATACAATCGAACTTTTTTTTGAATCCTAAATAGTCTAGATCTGCATCCATGTGTTCCACTTAATGCGATTGACTTCAGCATCCTCTTCAATATCTGCAGAATTTCTGATTACAGATTAACTGCATAAGACAAAAAAAAATTGTTTAGTACTCGTTCATTTGATAAGTTCAAGGAAATTTATTATAGTAAGAAGAAAGCATACGAAAAGTCAATATGCATACCTTAAAAATTCATGTGGTATAGCTGGGCATAAAAAATATAACCACACTAATCTAGAACATCTAGAATAAGGCTAATTAAAATGCAAATTCAAGTTATATAACAAAAATGATATAAACGTTAACAAAACAAAATTCCATACATAACCCCTATCAACATTAAAGGGTCCATGAACCCAAAATGCATAAGCCATATCATAAACAACAGCAAAATAAAGATTCAATCGTCACACAAACATCGTCCATCACAAAACCAAAAGTATTGTCCAAAGCAGCATCAAACAAAACAAATGTATCCATTTTTCAAAAGAAACATCAATCTTGTTCAAGCCTTCTCTGTCTTGACAACAGATTTAAATTTCTTGGAAGGGCCTGAAACTGAAAGTTCTTCCAATAAAGATCTCCTGACGCTATCATCCTCAATGACAACTGCATTGTGTTTACTTGAACTGGGAACTGGGCTATTAACTTCATGCTCCGACGAACCAATCTAAAAACAATGATAAAATGTGAATACTTATAACGATGCAATAAACTATAATTTTTTAAGGTTCATTAAGAATACACAACGTCAATTATATTTAAAATGATCATACCGCCTCATTGTCATAAATTTGCTTACGAAGCTCACTAAATTCATCAACAACCTGATCAAAAAACGTTTAAAAACAGTATGAGTACGAAACCATATATATGTGTATATATTTAAATATTAACAACATATATAAACACAAACCTCGTTAGATCCATCCTTTGAAGAGTACAAAGACAAAACTTCTGTATCATTGTTAAAGTCAATGACGCTAAATGACTTCTTCCCCTTGAAAACATTCCCATCTCCTTTCGACTGAACCTTGAACAGCATTAGAGAGCCTAGCAATTGTCCTATCTCTTCAGGGTACTCAAGATGACCATCAACATTCTAGGAAAGCATGAAATGTAAAGGTTAGCTTAACCTTACCTAAGAGTCAAAATAGTAGACAGTTGTTCACCAAAGTATCTTACCTTGGCAGCCACCACATCTTGTAAATCAGCAGCAGTCTTCCCAATCAACCTTGTACAATGCTTATCCCACAGCACAAATGCAGTAAAGCCAGTTGAATCCATCACCTGAACACTAATCTTATACCTAAACACAAACAATTGAAAATAAAAAATAAAAAAACTAACACCATAAACATTTAAAAAAAATCATTAGAGAAAACACACCTAAGTATCATTTCACTACAATTACACGGCACACAAATGTTTCCACTTGCAGCAGGCTTTTTTTGGCAACGCTTGCATGCAACATAGCACCACTCTTTGTTGTCAATGGCAACTATCTTAGCCAGGACCCAATATTTCCCATTCTGAAAAAATTACAAAAGCATAAAGAATAAAGAAACAGAAATTAAATTAAACATAAAGCAAAAATCACCTCTTCAATGCTTAATAAATCTTGTATAGTCATCAACTGAACAGTTCCGCTAGCTATTTCAGCTTCCAGTGTGGTCTGAGATGACATCGTCTGCGTCGTTGGAGCATCTCCTCCTCCCAGTGGCAACCTATGAAACATTTCATCTAGTTAACAAAATACGAACACAAAATTGGCTTTTGATAAATACATTTAAAATATAATCAATTAACCTAGATCTAAAAGCAACAACATCCTCGCTATTACCATTTAAGATCATTTTTGTAACGTGGTACACGTTATGGGCAAATACACAACCTATAAAATAAAATACTATAAGCCGTGGAGTTTACGATAAATCTATACCTCAAGAAAAATATTCAAAACATGTTAATATACCTTGTAAAGTTTATTCAGTAAGGTAGTATCTTGTGATGATATGTGTTGCCATGACAATTAGGGGTGGGCAAAAATACCGTAAAATCGGTATATCGCACTTATTGTACCGAAAAATAACCGAAAAATATCGGAATATTGATATACCGTCATTTTCGATATGGTATCATACCGTACTGATTTATTTCGGTACGATAACAGTAAATATTTTCAAATACCGTGGTATACCGGTATAATATCGTACCGGCTCCCTACCCAACAATTACTTTAAATTCTAAATATTGTAAAAGTCCATTACAATTTTGAAGCACAAAATTAATACGTAGGTTGGTTACAAATACTAAAATACAAAAACAAAAGCCCATTTTTTAAACCCACTATAACCTTCTAGGTTTCTACTAAACATGCAAACAAACTAATTAACCCTAATGACTAATGAGTAATGTACTAATGCCCAGAAACCAGTCCATCCTGTTCCATGAGCTTGCGAGTCGCAATGGTTGAGCCGCTGATTGTATTTACATAACGATTCCGCGATTCGAGGCACACAACTTTGTCCGAAAGTCTTATTCAAATATTTTTTAAAAAATATAAATTGATTAAATACACAATATCATATTAGGGATAAATGATTTTATATCCATGTTGTTTGAATTATTTTATTTATATTTGTTAGAGATCACTCACTATTCATTTCATTATATCTATATTGTTCAAGTTATTTTAGGAGAATGTGTTTTTTAATACGTGACATGTTGAACTGCTTAAATATACTAATAATAATTATTATTCAATATTGAATATGACATCAATAGATTATTAATTGTATTTTATAACATTTTAATAATGGATTAGATATGTCGTTAGTAACACAATTTAGTATATTTTATTACTCTATGATAAGTTGTTATGTTGAAAGACATGCATGATAATTTAATGATACCGTACCGTACTACCGTTAACAAATCGAAACTTTAGTATACCAAAATGCGCTATATCCACTACTAGAAAAACAGCTTACAGTGACACTTGTTTAGTGACACTATCATGTCACTAATACGTCAATGACACTAGTATATCAGTGACTGGTGATATTATTACATCAACACATAATAGTGACACTAACTCAAATTATTATTTAATTTTAACTTCTAAAAATTTCATAAACCTAATACTCTTTATTTCATTTATATGACTACATCTTCCTCCTAAACTCCCCTCTTCTCTCATTCACTTCCCCACAACCTGGCCGCTATTATGACTTCAGTCTGCACACCCTTGGATGTCGGAATGCCATCGCCATTAATGGCGAAAATCAAGAAAGTCTCAACCGGTAGATCCTTTAGGTCGAGTCGGAAGCGGGGTGGAGGCCCGAGCAGTGACTGGTTAGACGAAGGAGTAACCACCAGTCGGCCACTGGAAGCTAACGACGAGCGGCGGCGATTCGAATCAGGTGGATGGACCAGCTGCGAGCAATGAACGACATCGCTGCGTAGGAAGTGGGGGACGAGCTGTCGGTGCCTTGTCTTTCGTAATCGACGGAATCAGTTTACTCCTGCCATCACCTCTTCAAAGACGATGCCGCTGCTCCCGATGACTACGAGGAAGGAGATGACACAGCTCCGTCATTCCATCTCATTCAGAGATCCGACGTTCCATATCCTTAACCATTGGTAATTTCTTCACATACTAAATATCTATTTAGTTATCTTATTCCTAATCGATATTTATGTATAATTTCTGGAATTTGTATAGTCACATTGAATTTGTGATGAAGCTTGAAGAATTTATTTCTAGGTTTAGAGTTTTTCTGTTGTCTATTAAGTGTTTGTGAAAATGTTTCAATGAAAATTTTAAACGAATATTTTGTTTCCTCTTCTTTCTATCAAGTTTGATGTTGGTGAAGTTGATTAAGTATATTTTCAATATTCTTGGTGAAGTTTGCTCAAATATGAAGTAAAATCACATCCTTTCATGGTTTCACTTCCATTCCTCACCTTGCCCAATTATACCCAAATGGATTTTTCAGTCAACTTTAATTGATTTTAAATGATACGGTTTACTTTATATCCAAAAGTTTCAACCTTACAAGTAATAGAAATATATCAATGAGATCTTGATGCTCTAAAAATCTGTTTGGATGTAAAATGGATTTAAACTATTTAAATTAGAGCATCATTAATTGTAATAGAAATACCAATGAGATCTTGATGCTCTAAAAATCTGTTTTGGATGTAATAGACATATACCAATGAGATCTAGATTATACCAATGAGATCATGACAATATAATCTTTCAAAACAGTTCATATTTTCAAGTTTCATGTGTCATATATCCCCCCTCCAGACTTCTAATATGTACTACTATTGCTACCACTATGTTCTAATGCGATTAATTTACTTGCCTGCTATAATGGATGTACATAATAGAGAGGGAGTATTATTCATATCACCTTTTCTTTATTCAATTTTACTCTTCTATATTCAGTTAATATTCTTCCAGTTGCCACATTCATACAGTCTTAACAACTACTTAATGAAGTCTAAACAACTATTTAGTGGAGCTTAGTTGATTAAATTAGGGGCATATGTTTTCCCCCTCTATTATCAATATACTTTAGAAATATCTTTATGTGTGAAACACTACAAAGCTATGTCTGAGAAACGAGTACTTTCTTTAAAAAATGTTCTCCATTAACTATCCCAGTGTTGAATTTAACTGTTTAATTAAATATTGAGCAGTTTTATAACTTACAGTTTAGTCATCCTGTAAAATATGAAGCCCTAACTCATTGGTGTGTAACATAGAAGTTCAGCACTAAGCTATATGTCCCTTTTATTTACGTTTTTATGAAGGTGTTGCACTGGAGAGATTATGATTCAACTCCTTGTACATGGGCTGGCATTTCATGTCATCTAAATGAACAAAGAGTCCTTTCTATGTACCCCTCTCAGTATTTGTTTTACTTTTTTTTGTTTCCATCTACTCAGTATTTGTTTTACTTTTTTCAGCTAAATTCACCCCAAAATCGCCTTAATATTATACTAACGCACTTCTCATAACCTTCGAGTCCAATATCTCCTATCTCCAGATTAAACCCTAGCCCTGCAACATAAACTTAATATTTCACTCCTATTTCAAGATATTACTTCCTCGTGCTAAAATTCAGACCTGGTGCCACATTCATATCTTTATTAATGCAATATTGACAATTATGATTTTTTAATTTTTTGTTATTGCTTATATATGTTTTCTATTCCTACTGTTCTGTTTGTGAAGATCAGGTAGCAGTCTCTAATGCGTTGCACATATCTTTTTTACCCTCTCTTTCAGTTCATTACAAGAGTTGTGTTTAATTCTAAGACTTTAAAGACTAAAATATTCAAGTTAGCTTAAGATTGGCTTCATTGTGGCATAGATGAGTACTTTCGGCAGTTGCTTCCCCTCCATCTCTTCAAAAGCTTGGTGAGAAATTTCTTGGGTAAGATCTTCAACGTTGTTGAAATATAATAAACTAAAGAATGAGCTTTTATATAGTGACTGATGGTATAATTATCTATTTAGTAAACTTGCAGACTTCAAGTTTATGCCGCAATAATTGACTTGGATGTTAGTGATAATAGGGTATTTCTTTGCTCAAGGGTCTTCTTCAAGGGTACTTTCTTCAAGGGTCTCTCGTTTTGGGCATACTAGCAGAAAATGTTCTCGGGTTTCAAAGCCAATGATACAGTTGGCTGAGGTTGTTGAAAATAGGCAAATTGTTTCTGCCAATGTCACCCACGTAGCCCATGTTCATGTTTCAGACCCTCCTACAGTTTCTGCCCCAGCTTTTAAAGCACATTTTTCTGAATTTGGTATTCTTAAACCTATAACTAAAGATAAAGATGTTGCATCTTTGTTGGATGGCTTGATTGCCCCTGAAGGCCCTTTTGATGACCGTAATGCCCATTCTGTTTTTGATGATATTGCTGCCCAGTTTAATTCACCTGCTGCTGTTACAAATGCCCCCAAATGATTGTACTGCTTCTTGTAAAGCACACGTTTCTGATTTGCCTATTTTAAAAGCTACAGCTACAGATGTTCCAACTATGTTGGATGCCCCGGTTGCTCCTGATGCCCCTTTTAAAGCCCACATTGAGCCTGGGCAAATAGAGTATTTTATCGCTGAGAAATTTAACATTGCTGCTTCATAGTATTTGATCTTTCCCTGTTGATGCCTCTCATGCTTGTGAAGTCCAGGTTTCTATCCTTCTCATGCCTCACAGACCATTGCTTCAGTCCACAAGGAAGGATGTCCTAAGTGATGTGAATCAATATATTTGTCATTCACTATAATTTTAATAAACACTTATTATCATTTATTCTTGATTAATCTTCATTTAGACTAACTTTATGCTACATAATTTTATGCTTGAAAAGGACTTTGCCTTGACAGGAAAGGCCTATTGCAAGGAATGTGCGAATCTAAGGCCCTGTTTGGTAGCCATTACTGGCTTATTCTATAATTCACTTGACTGCAGGTTTACTTGAATGATATATCGCATATCCAGCCTTATAGTTTCAAAATTGTCAATTTTCTTATTTCTTTTTTCAGAAAATGAATTGCTATTCCCGGTAATAAGTTGGTAAAATGGATAGATTCATTGCGTTTAAAAAGTAAGCATGTTTATATGATACCCTTTTTATCTGCTTTCGTTTCTTCTGAATGGATAACTAATTTCCACTGTCACAGGAAGGTGTAGCTAGGAAAGTATCAGACTAGAAGTGTAGAAGAGAATATGACTGGAGTTAAATATCTCCTCATTGAGGCCTGCTATACTTTTAGCATGATATGATTTTAAATTTCCTCTCTATGTAGATATCCTATTTTTTTGTCTTGGTAGTTTCTGTTCTCTGATTTGTCACACTATTTTTATAATAATCATTATAACCTCTAGCACGGAAAATATTGACTTGTGTTAATTTTATCCTTAGATGTTGATGTACTTGTTGAACTTATTGATTATTAATATTGCAAAGTTAAACAATTATGCAGGCTATGTTCAACCAGATATTGAGAAGTAC